CGCCGGAGTCAGCTGAGGCCCAAGTGGGTCGCAGAAGGCGAAACTGGCAGGAGGGAGGCAGGTGCTAGGGGCACCGCCCTAGCCCTCCGCCCCCTAGAACCCGGCCCAGTGGCATCGATGGACAAAACCGAGACGTATTCACCAGTTCTCACTTAGGAGATCGTGGTGGACTCCCGCTCCTGCCCAGTCTCGCTCAGGTGACCCGAGTTTGCAGGAGTTCCCAGCCGAGCCCCGGGGAGCAGTGTCAAGAGTTGTGACTCAGGCACTGGGCCTTTTAATACTTTCCTTAGTAGTCTGAAGGAGGCTTCATTTTTATAATTTACTTTTTTTTTTTTTTTTTTTGGTACCGGGGATTGAACTTGGATCCTTGCGTTTGGCAGGCGGTGGAACCACTGAGCTAAATCCCTGGCCTTTCATTTTTATGTTATTGGGAATTATTACTGCATTTTAATACTTTTTGACTTGGTGAGTGTAGTTATTGGTGACAAGGGGAACTGTAGGTGTGTGGTTACGAAAATTTGCGGAAAGTTTGAGAATGTTTTGCAGAGATACCAGTCCATTTGAGTTGGTCAAGTAGGAACTGAAGGTTGTACCCTTTTTGAAAAAAAGCAGCTATAGAGGCAGGCTTTACTTCTTCCATTCCCATTACACATAGAGCTTCTGATTGAACTGGTTCCACTTTTCCACTCTGTTGCAGAGGTCTTCCAAAAATAAATCTGTGTGGTATTTTGTAGATAAGATGTTTGAAGAAATTAGCCTTCTTTTGAAAGTGCTGGACCTTGCTTTTTGCCTCTACAGCAAGATTTATATGTATATTTATGGCAGGTTTTTAGCAAAACTGGTTTTGGTTCTCATTTGTTACTTCACTGACAAAAACTTCGGTTTTTTTCTTCTACAGAGTAGCAGAGGCAAATTAGTTTCATATTAGGATTGTATGGAGTTAGTGTTGTGGTTTGTAATTGCCTTTACTATATCTTTTACTCATGGCAACTGCCTAGTCCTTGTTAACTCCCATAGATCTCCCTCCCTCTTTGGGTGTTTTCACTTTCTATTTGTTTTATTACTGTCCTTGTTTTATTCCACAAGACTATAAATCCAGCACAGGCAGGAATCCAGCCAATTTTAGAGCCGGAAGGAGGCATTCAAGTAATTTTTGAATGAACAAAATTTCTTAAGCTATGAAATTTCAATGATCTAAAAGTGGATTTTGGCATGTTTAAATCCACGGCAAATAAAACAGAAAAATGTAGGTGAGACCGTGCTACAACTAGTATTGAATGATATAGAGAAAATAATGAAAACGTTTCAGCTTCAAAATAGACTGAAGGCAAATTAATTTGCTGTCTTCTTTCATCAAGAATAAAACGGATGTAGCATTCAGTTTTTCCTAAAACTTTTAAAATATTGTATGAGTCATTTTAAAAGCTAATCCAGCATGAAATTTTGAATTTAAAATCTGAAATTGAAGTGTCACAAAATCGTCTTTGTTTTCCTGAACAGGTGGTGTTTCATAAGATGTCACCCAATGAGACTCTCTTTTTGGAAAGTACCAACAAGATTTATAAAGACGACATTTCCAATAGCTCCTTTGTGAATTTCCAGATTTGGGATTTTCCTGGGCAAATGGACTTTTTTGACCCAACCTTTGACTACGAGATGATCTTCAGGGGAACAGGAGCATTGATATATGTTATTGATGCACAGGTACTTAGGAATAATTATTCTCTTACCTGGTGGCAAAAAAGATATAGGACAAAGGAAAGTTGTTTTCTTTCGTGTCAGTTGCTTATAGCTTATTTCTTTGCTAGTAAATTCCCTAGCATTGTAAGACATGCAGTCTTGTGAGCACGTGTGTCATTGAGCAATTCCACAGTATTAGATGGTTGCAAGATGTGGTTTACATCCTTGAGTCCTAGTTAATGAGCAGCTAGAATTGGCTTTCCACTTTCACTGGTTAATACATACTGCTATACTTTATTAACTGTTACTATACTGACATTGATCATTAAAAAGATCCCATAGTATAAAAAGGAGTATGAGAACTGAGTTGGTGTATATTAGAGTGAATAGTTTTTTGTTCAAGCAAAAACAAATATAGTCCAACAAGAATGTATTGCGATTCTGCCATGTGGCAGGCAGTCAGATGAATGGGGCATGTTCCTCTCTGTAAGAAGCTTAAACATTAGTTAGGCCTGCTGAGTGATAGGCTCCATGGGTGCTTTCACATACATGAGCTATTTTAATCTTCACAATATTATGAGGTAGGTATGATAATTCCAATTTTACAGATGCATAAATTGAGATCACAAGGGTTTAAGCAACTTGCTAAAAGCCACATACAATTTACAAATGGCAGAGCTGGGATTACTTTAAAACATTCTTTTGGGGAGAAATGTCCTTTGTCTTTTTCCTTGCTTTTATTATTGGTATTAAAAAACCACAGGCATTAACTTGTATTTGAATTTTATAGCTTAAGAAATTGAAGAGATAGTTAAGTTGGTATATCTGAATATTTGAGTATTTATGAATAATTAGGATAATTTTCTGTGGTTGGGGAAAAGGTTGTTTGAGTCTTTCTTAACTCATTACTTGCCTTTTGTAAGATTTCTTTTTAAAAATATTTTGTTCTGACTTACAGGATGACTACATGGAGGCTTTAACAAGACTTCACATTACTGTTTCTAAAGCCTACAAAGTTAACCCAGACATGAATTTTGAGGTTTTTATTCACAAAGTTGATGGTTTGTCTGATGATCACAAAATAGAAACACAGAGGGACATTCATCAAAGGGCCAATGATGACCTTGCAGATGCTGGGCTAGAAAAACTCCATCTTAGGTAACAACATGTGTGTTTGATATGAGAGCCCCCCCAAAAAACGTGTGTTCGATATTTAAGCCCTGTAAATGTATTCCCATCTCTGTCATTACAAACATGTAGCTTTGTTACTTGTAATGTTAACATTATTTGTAATGTTTTTGATCTCCAAGCTGTTTATGGAATGTAGTATTGAGAAATTACTTTTCCCCCCTTTTCATTTTCCTGAAGACAGAAGTCATGTGAAATGTTTTCATTGGTTTTTTTTGCAAATTCATCCCAAGAGACTATGGAGTCAGGCTGTTTCCTCACAGCACAAATCTGCTTTGGGACTTCCCTCCTCTTGATTTCATCACCTTCCCTCCCTCACCCCCTTTGCCTTAGAGCAAGACTCTGTCACATTTGTTGAATTCTAGCTTGAGTCTTCACAGTATCTTTCTCAGTGGGGGAAGAGACTTTGAAAGGAGGCACATTTTCAATTCTGGGTTGATTCTAATGTATATCTTAGTTTTAAAAACAGTTTATATTTTTATGAAACTCTGAGGTTTGGGTTAGGTCAGTTTATCCTATAAATTTGCAGTGGTGCTGTTAAGTTTAAAAGACTGCTGGTTTATAATTAAATGTTAAGAAATGACTGTTAAAGAACATCTAATAGGATCGATGATGGTATTTTTGTGTTTAAAAGTATGTGAGAAATATTTTTGTACATCTTACTCTTTTTTGGATATATGGGCAGAAATGGGTACTTACAAGTAGTACCGAAGGAAAAGTTCTCAGTCATACAAGTAGTGTAAAGGGAGAGCAGCAGAGAGCAACAGTATAGTGATTTCCTTTTTCTTTGTCTATTTCAGTGGTTTCTCTATAGGCTCAAGCCAGCTCTCTCCTTGTCCCTAATATTCCCCAGGCTTTAGGCTCTAAAATATTCTTTTAGCAAACTGTAGAAAAGTCTCATTGACCTCTAGATTGCTTGGATTAAAGTTTTAAAACATTTATAGAGCCAGGTGTGGTGGCACACGCCTGTAATCCCAGCACTTGGGAGGCTGAGGCAAGAGGATCACTGAGTTTGAGACCAGCCTGGGCTACATAGTGAGTTCCAGGTCAGTCTCAACTCAGAAAACCAAAACCAAAACAAACAAACAAAAAAATAAAACATTTATAGGTAATTCATGCTTTGAAAAGAAACTCCAAATCCACCATTGTTTGTAAAAGTACCTCCGTATAAAATCTCTCAATCTGTTCAGAAATCCATTATTAATTTTGGAACTTTATTATTCTCTACTCCACGCTTGCATCCCATTCCAGGCCATTCCAGGGACCATGCCTCATAACCTCAGCAGAATATTGTGTCAAGCTTTAAGTTTTAAATTATTTATTTATTTTTTGGCATGTGTATTGTGCTGGGGATCAAACCCAAGGCCCTTGTGCATGCTAGGCAAGTAGTATTCTACTGAGCTATACCAACCTGTGTCATGCTTTTATTTAGTACTAGTAGGTCTATGGATGAGGCTCTATTTGATTTTCATTTTCTAGAAACTCAGCTTTGTAAAATGCTTTGTGAGAGTGCAGGTTCTCCCTGTCCCTACCCACCCACAAAGAGAGGACTTTGCTTACTTTACTAACCTTTTTACCTAAAGGAAATGCTATGCGATGTTCCTTTTCCCTAGTGACTCCCCAAGGGTCATTTGTTCTTACCTGTTCCAGTGCTTTCACATGTGGAGCAGAGCATTTTTTTTTTTTTTGCATAGAGTTAAGACAGTTCGTTGAAAGTTTCTGTAAATTACCTATAAAGTGATAAACATAATTCTTTATCTCTGACGTGAAATATATGTGTATAAATGTATCATGAATATAATTACATAATGAAGATTACTGAATGGAAAAGCAGGTAGTTTGTCTGCAGTGTTAAAATTGTCAGGGGCCCATCTCTTTCAGATGAATGTTTTATTAAATTTATATGTGTTCTTTTCTGTATATCCTTTTAAGTTGGCAGACTTGTTTTTCATAGGGCTCTAACTTCCATCTCCCTCATTATTCTATTTACCTAAATCTAAGCACCAGTTGTATTTGTTCACTTACAGGCAGATACTCACGAGCGCTCTTCAGGGCTCTGAGCTTGCACCTGTGAGAAAGACTGACAAGTCTTTTCCTCTCGGAGGTTACATTCTGATGAATAACAGGTCAAAAGCACAAATAAATGTATGGTGCAATTTTAAGGACTTACCAGTGTTATGGAGAAAAATTAGGATAAAAGGTAGAAAGTATCAGGTACAGGATTACTATAGTAGACAGGCCAGTCACAAAAGAACTTTTTAAGGAGGTAATGTTTTAGTAGAAACCTGAATTATATTTTTGTTTAATAAATATCACCTATCTCTACTAGCTTTTCCTGAGTTTTTAGCCTTGGTTTTTTATCTCAGGTGTGTAAGCTTTAGGGATCAGGTTGCAAGGAGTTAGGCACACATTCAGATTTCTGCATCTGGAAGTGCTTTCCTGGGTGCTGCCTCAGTCGCCCTCTGTGGAAATGCCGTAAAGCAAGTGATGGCCACAGACCAGATGCGAAACTGCACTTGTAATCTGGAACAATGGGGTGGCTTCATTTGAACTTACTGAAATCACATTGTATGTATTATGATAATTGTCACCAAACTTAAGCACTTGACGGTTTACTCCAAGTGCACAGCGTGTGTTATATGCCTGCTATCCCAAGCTTCGCTTGGGCAGGTGTCATTTCAACCAGTTGATTCTTGTATTGGATAAATTTGATAAAATTGTCATCTTTATATTCCCCATTATAGTATCTCATAAAAATTAATGAAAAAATATGCAATTTTTGGTCATCCTGTATTTAAATAATTGGACTGGTAAGTGATTAAGGTATTTTCAAAATTAATCGTACTGTGTTGTATTTTGTATTTTTCAGCTTTTATTTGACTAGTATCTATGACCACTCAATATTTGAAGCCTTTAGTAAGGTCGTGCAGAAACTCATTCCACAGTTGCCAACCTTGGAAAACCTATTAAATATCTTTATATCAGTAAGTGAGCTACTTAATTCACTGTAGTTTCTGTTTTCATTGTTAAATATATTTGTATTTACAGATTCTCACAAAACTGGGGCTTGAATCAGCTTAAATAACGTGCAAATAAATAACAAGGGCATAAAATATGGCTTGGGTTATTTTCTGAATTCTTAGCACTTACCTTCCCCATTTTTTTTTTTGAACCGGGGATTGAACTCGGGTCCTTGTGTTTGCAAGGCAGGCCGCTGGACTGCTGAGCTAAATCCCTGGCCCCTTATCTTCCCTTTTATCTTTTTCTTTTTTTTTGGTACTGGGGATTGAACTCCGGCCCTTGCACTTGTGAGGCAGGTGGTGACTCCAGTGAGCTAAATCCCCAGTCCCTTCCCTTTTGTCTTTAATGAACTGCTGAAAATTTTCCTTGTGCTTTCTTAATTAAAAATACTTCAAGATACCTGTTTCCTGAAGAAAGAGTAGTAACTAGAAAAGACTAAATCTTGGGAAAGTAGCTCAGTTTAATATAAATCTCACCTTCCTTGGAGGTCACATTGAGAACTTTTCCTTTCCTTACTAACTATAATTTACTATACTAGCTGTAATTTTAGTATCATATGTAACATTCTTTCTTTGAGAATCCAGTTTACAAAAAACGGATAGTCTCCCCAGTAAATTTAACATGTATCTGTTATATTTTCCAAATATTACTTTGGAAGGACTGAATGCATGGTGACCCTACTCTGATTCTTGTGGTTTTGGGTTATGCTAGATGTTGATGTCAAACTGTTTTGCTAATTGCCCGCATAGAGATTTTCTGGTAGCATGGTCATTCAAACCAGAGATTGATTATGGTAATAAAAGATTAAAAATGTTGCATAGCTTAGCCTGATTCCCCCACACTCCTTGCTCCCACTAGGGATTGAACCCAGGGCTTTGCACTTAGCTACACCATCAGTCCTTTTTTTTTTTTTTTTTGAGACAAGGTCTTGCTGAATTGCTAAGTCCAAGCTGGGTTTGAGCTTGTGATCCTCCTGCCTCAGCCTCCCAGAGTGCTGGCATTTTAGGCATACATCACCATGTCTGGCTGTATAGCTTGATTTTTGGAGAATTTCTTTGTTAAGTTTTTGGTGATGTTTCAGGAAATGGTTTTAAGCAAAAGGAAGAAAGACACTTATGCAGTTAGGGTAGTAAATCAAAGCAGAGAAATATCCATTTTTTCCTTTTTTGGATTATGGAAGTGTTTCTCAACCAAATACTGTTTATGTTCTGGCATTGGGTGGTATAATTAAATATGACCTTGGATGTTAGTCAATAAACTGCAATTTGTGATTCTTAAAAGAAACTGAATACTTCCTAATTTTGTTTTTCCAAGAATTCAGGTATTGAAAAAGCTTTTCTCTTTGATGTTGTCAGCAAAATCTACATTGCCACGGACAGCTCCCCTGTGGATATGCAGTCTTATGAACTTTGCTGTGACATGATTGATGTTGTAATTGATGTGTCTTGTATATATGGGTAAGTTTTATATATATATGTTTTTGTAAGAATTCTGATAAGCATATTTGCCTGATAGTCTTAAAGACTATTGAAACAGATAAGCTGGATGTGGTGGCTCAGATGTCTGCAACAGTTTGAGGCCACCCTGGGGTACATAGGGAGATCTGTCTCAGCAAAACAAAACAAAAAAACCCAAAGAAAAACATGAACCTTTTTTAAGGTCATTACTGTATTTTAGTTCTTCATTTTATGAATCACCAAAAGCAAATCTGCCTAATCAAACCCTTTTTTGTTTTGCTTTGTTTTTTTTGTTTTTTGAGTCAGGGTCTCACTATGTAGTTGAGACTGACCTGGAACGGGAACTCACTATGTAGCCCAGGCTGGTCTTGAACTCACAGGGATCCTCCTGCCTCAGCCTCCCAAGTGCTGGAATTATAGGCGTGCACCACCACGCCCGGCTCCTAATCAAACCTTTGAGTAGAATTTTTTTAGTACTGGGAATTACATTCAGGGACTCTGGTAAACTAGGCAAACGCTGTTCCACTGACCTATATCTCCAGCTCCAGAATCTTCCTTTCTTACTTCTTTCTCCTTCTAGTGTGATTTTAGGACACATACTGGCTTGACGTTAGAAGATTCACAGCTTCTTATGGCTGCTGGTTGTGCGAACATAGCAATGATGCTGGACCTTTTAGAGCTTTCAGTAATACAAACTGTACTGTGGCATGGGTGCTGTAGGCTTGCCATCACTGGCTTAGGGAGTCACTGTCTGTGTCAGAGCCTCTTGTTAGAGTTAGTGCCCATTCTCAATTCCATGCTCCACAGAAAATTGTGTACTTGGTGTCTAACTGTAAGTTGAGAATACTTAGCACTTATGACTTCCTCTCATCCAATCAAAAGGATGTAGTTTTCTTTCTTCCTTTTTTTTTTGTTTTGTGGCGCTGAGGATTGAACCGCTAGATAAGTGCTCTCCCACAGAGCTGCATCCCAGCCTGGAAACAGTTTTCTTTTATAGTCTTAAAATAGGTGACATTTATTTCCCCATCACTGCTTTCTAAATCAATTTTATTAATACTGTATAGGAAAGATACTGAAAACTGCAAGGAATTAAGTTAAAACCCTGCGTTTGATATCTGTACCAGGAGGCTACTTTACCATTAATAAACTTCAATGTGTGTGTGTGTGTGTGTGTGTGTGTGTGTGTGTGTGTTTGTGTATCTACTACTACTACTCCCACCCCCCCACTTTGACTTGTGAGGCAGGCAGTGGAACCACTGAGCTAAATCCCCATCTAGTTTCTATTCATTTAAAATGGGCATGCCGGGTGTGGTGGTACACACCTGTAATCCCAGCACTCAGGAGGCTGAGGCAGGAGGATCACTGAGTTCAAGACCAGCCTGGGCTACATAGTGAGTTCCAGGTCAGTCTCAACTACATAGTGAGACCCTGTCACAGAGAACCAAAAAAACAAAAGTGGCTAAATAGGGCCATAGTAGTAATTCCTGTTCTCTGAGTTATTGTGAGGATTAAACTAATGTATGAGAAGGTAAACTGTAAGATTCAGAATAGTTTTAAGACTCTCTTTTCATGAAAAATACTGTAAATAAAGTTAAAACAGGAGAGGAAAAAAAAGCATTGTTCTACTACCAAAGACAACTCCTGTTAACATTTTCTTTTACAAATATTTCCTTCATCTTTTTTGAAGACGGATCTGTTTTGAAGAAAAAGAATTTTGGCAACTTGCTAGTGGTAGCTAGATGACTTAGACTTTCACTAAGCAGGCACATTAGAGGATGCGTGGTGGTGCACGCCTGTAATCCCAGCACTCGAGGTTGAGGCAAGGGGATCACTGTGAGTTTGAGGCCAGTCTGGACTCATATGTAGTCTGGACCCAGATTACATAGCAAGATCTTGTCTCAAAAACAAAGAACAACCCCCATCCCCAGCCAAAAAAACCCCAAACCAAACCAAACGAAAACAAAACAAAAAAACCACACAAAAAAACTCTTATAACCCATCTCTTTAAAAGTTGTTGATTTCAACATAATTCCTATTGGTGTCTAGCTGGGACTGTTCTTGTGTAGTCCAAGAATTTTCTTGCTGTTGTGAGGAAGCAAAAAAAAAAAATGCTTTTTGAGAAAAGACGTGATAGGTCTGGCATGTCAGTTATTCTTTGAAGAAACTCATTGAAGTGGTAGATCTAAGGGGGGGCCTACAGAGTACAACACTTGTAGTCCCAGAACTCAGGCTGAGGCAGGAGGAGTTCGAGGCCAGCCAGCCAGGGCTACATAAGGTGGTCAGGCCAGCTTGGACTACAGAAGTAAGACCTTGTGTGTGGGGGTATACTTGACACTCTGGGTACCCCCATCTGGCAGGATGTTGGAAATGTAATTTCCTTGGTGAAAATTTACGTGTATTTTTGCTTTTTTCTCCAAATGTCTGTTTGTGTATAATAGTAATGGATATGTGTGGAGATTTTGGTTGTCTTTAATAAGAATTCTTGAGATTCTGTGTTTGGGGACTCTATACCTAAATGACAGTTGCGTTATGTACTTAAGCCAGTAGTTTGCATTCTCAGAAGAAATTTAGGAATCTAAATGGAAAGGCTCGTCATTGGGCAAATTAAATGTACCACAATCCCTTGCTAGGAAACCTGTAATCAATAGTACTTTTCTTTTAAAATAGGTTAAAGGAAGATGGAAGTGGAAGTGCTTATGATAAAGAATCTATGGCAATCATCAAGCTGAATAATACAACTGTCCTTTATTTGAAGGAGGTGACTAAATTTTTGGCATTGGTCTGCATTCTTAGGGAAGAGAGCTTTGAACGGAAAGGTAATGGCATGTAAAAAAGCTGTTTTCATGTCACATTCTTTGTTGTAATTTCTCAGATTCTCAAAAACAATAAAAACTAATACTTCACTGTTAAGTGGTTATCTTAAAAAATCAGCTCAAATGACTTTTGCCCCTTCCCTTCTCTATGTAGTTCACACGCTGTCCTTCCTTTGATCTTATGTTTTAAATATTAGTAGTATTATTATTTTGGTACCGGGGATCGAACTCAGGTCCTTAAATATTAAATATTTTAAATATTTTAAGTTTTTATTGTAGCTTCTTTTATTTCAGATCATTTTTCTTTAGCTGTATAGCTGCCTTTGCTTTGCTTCCAACTGAACCAGTTTACTGGAACTGTTTGAGAGGTAACCAGGTTACCTCCTTGCTGCATTCAGTGGCCTTTTCTCATTGTGTGGCCTCTTCAGCCTTCTGGAGCATATGACCATGTCAGCTGCTGCTTTCTCAGAGCTTGTTTTCCCTTTGCTTCCCTCCAGCTGAACTCTGGATTATTTTTGTGTTTCTCTGACTGCCTCTCCAGTTTCCTCTGGCATTGTTTTTTCTTAATCCTATGTTCTTCAAAGTCAGGTCTTTTCTGCTTGATGCTTCGCTTTAACTTTCCAGGCCATCTCTTCTAGTCAGTGGTTTTGCTTAATAGTCTGTGGGTGATTGAAAATTCACATCTCCAGGTCTTAGTTCCCATTCTGTGTTTGGAGCTCTTAGTAAGACATCTTCACTTAAATATGTGTATTTGATTGATGTTCATGTGGTATGTTGCCCAGGATGGCCTCTAACTGCTAGGCGTAAGCAATCTGTCTCAACCTCCAGGGTAGCTGAGAGTGTAGGTATTTATCACATGCCTGACTCACAGAGGTCAATTTCTGTAGCTGAACTGGCCAAACTTGTTTTTATATGTATTTTTTCTTTCTCCTGGAAGTGGTAGGGATTGAACCCAGGGCCTCAAGAATGCTAAACAGGCATTTAGGTATATTCTCAGCCCTGTGTAGTTTTTTTTTTTCTCCTTAATATGAAGGACCACCTTAATTTGACTCTTCCTTTTTATAAGACTTAATTCTCAGTACTTCTCAACAGCAGTTCTCAGATGGCTGTCTCTCCAGTCAACCCAGTTTCCTGTCTTCCACCTGTGCTGTGTGCTCACTGCCAGTTCTCTGCAGTTTTCTTGTCATTTTGCTACCTTGACTGCTTTGCCCTGTCCATGGCTCTCCCTTCTTGTAGCCACTCGACACCAGATTGTTTTGATTTGTGTCTGTTGGATTTGTGCCCCTGCTAGCCTATCCTTGATGGCATGAGCCATTATCTGTTGCTTCTTTTGACACATTGTACCCTTTTATGCTGTTCAATAAGTGTTTAATGACTTTCACCAAATCAAATACAAATTATTGAAAGGTCACATTATGTTCAGGCAGGACACACAGTATATTTTAATATTTTACTTTGTCTGAATGTGAATTTAGTGATTTGAAACTTCAGTGTGAAAGATATTAATTTGGCCAAGGTCCTGGTCAAATTACACATCTGTTGTGTACATGAGAGGATGTAATGGTGGATAGATATGATGACTAGCTGGTTCTTAGGATTGAAGAGGTTGCTAACTGGTTTGGACATTTGAGAATTTCAAGCAGTATTTATCAGGCAGGGTTAGGCTTGGCTATAAACCCAAATAATCGTGGCTTAAACAGGTGGAAGTTTATATCTTTTTCACGTTTAAACAAACATAGAGTTCTTTGAGTCAAGACAGATCTTGGTATCCTTTGTAGTGCTTCACTTCCTTCTCTGCTGTTCTTAGCTCTGCCTTCTGTTCTCAAGCTTGCTTCATGGTCCAGAATGGTTCTTGGAACTCCAGCCTTTTTAATCTATATTCCAGACATTAAGAAGGAAGATAGATTCTTTCAGGGATGGAAGAAGGAATACATTCTTGTAAGCTTAAGACTTCATTCCAGGTGTGGTGGCACATGCCTGTGATCCTGGTACTGAGGAGGCTGAGGCAGAAGGATCACTGTGAGTTTGAGGCTAGCCTGGGCTACATAGTGAATTCAAGACCAGCCTGAAGTATATGGCAAGACCCTTTCTTAAAAAAAAAAAAAAAAGTTCACAGAAGATTCACATGCCTCTACTTACATCATTGACCAGAATTGGTCATGTAGCCAAATCTACCTACAAAGAAGGCTGGGAAATATAATGTTTTACTAAGTACCAGGTGTTCATCCATAATCAGGCTACCGCTTTTAAGGAAAGAAGGGGAAAAATGGCTAAGCAATTAGCCATTTCTGTCATAAAATAGAAGCCTTTATTTAGCAAAATCTTAACATGGATGCCCATTTCCTAAAACAGATGAGACAGGAAGCTTCACTGCCTGAAGAGGGGTTGCAAGCTTTGGAGCTCTGCCTGTTAGGCCTCTCTGGAATTCAGATTCCAAGGCTCTATTGAGTAGTTGGCCAACCTGGCCACCTGTTTTCTTCAGCCTTTTGTTAGCTACCCAAAAAGACTTAAAAAGCTTGATAATTCAAAAAGTATTTTACCTTTGGATTTTATTGTAAATTTTCTTAGCAAATTTACTTTTGCAATTGCTTTTATTAGTTGTCTTCCATGTCTACTCCCAGACCAGTGTTAACAGTTTGTCTATATGATTTCTCATATTTCCAGTGTAGAGAATTCCTTCATCAGATGTATTTTAAAATACACATCAAGTTTTTTCTGTCACTAAATATTTCCTAGTGAATAATGTAGCACTGCATTCAGGAGGCGTGATCTTCCATTTTCTCTGTTGCAGGTTTGATAGACTACAACTTCCACTGTTTCCGAAAAGCTATTCATGAGGTTTTTGAGGTGGGTGTGACTTCTCACCGGAGCTGTGGTCATCAGTCCAGCGCCCCCAGCCTCAAAGCATTGGCACACAATGGCACACCACGAAATGCCATCTAGTCAGACTCCAGTGTGGGGCTTGTTGCCAGCTTACTCTTCACTCCAGGGTCAGATGCCACGTGCCACAGGACAGGAGAGCTGCTGCTGGTGGGAACCTGTGCCTGTCCCACTAGAGGCAAGGGGGTATCATTTTGATTTGGATGAAAACCCCTTTAGCTGGTGGTGTACAACTGAAGCTGTTGTTTCTTTTTTTAAAAAATGACAAAGAAGAATTCTAGAGGCTACCGAACTCAAGTTGTCTTTTTCTTCTTTTGGGTCCTACTTTAAGTAGTTGGAATATTTTGGATGTGGAGATACAGCAGTTACCCATCAGGTACTGTTGCCATCAGTTCCTGCTGAAAGTAATGGACAAAACCAAATTTTTATATGCTTCCCTTAGGCTTTCATTTGAATAGTGTGCTTTGCTTAAATTCTAACACTGCCTCTCAGATCTCAGTTTTGGACATTGTACATCTAAGATCTTTTAAATGCATTCACTTGCTAACTCGGAAGACTCATCATCTGACTGCAGCAAAAGACATTTCTATATTTGTTACTGAGGAAATGAAGTAAAATTCTACACTGCATCGGGTAGAGAGCAAGGTTCAACAGTGGCTGCCTCAGTTCCTTTGGAAATGTGGAAAGAAACTGAAACAGAAGAAAATTTTTGTACCTGTGTTTTGGGTACCAGGGATGTTAGGAGTCTTTCTCCTGCATTTGATAAATGATCATGCTTCGTGTAACAAAGGGAATTAAAACAACAACTTTCCACAGCCCCTTGTAGGGGAGAAACTCATTATGTTGCTGAAATATTTAGCCTACTTTTCTTTAATCTTGATGTCAGCCTCTATGTAGCTTTTATTCTGAACTGTCTCATTCTTTCGGCATTGCTGTTTGTTGACCCTAAGGCACTGGTGGGCTCCACTGGAGGTTAGAACATGCAGTGCCACAACGTGTGTTTGTTGTCTTACATACTTGTCTCCAGTATTCTGACACCGAGTGTCAACTGTGGTACTTTTTTCACCGAGGATATTGATTTGTAATTGTTTCTTTTTATTGGTGGTTGATACCCTTCCCGTTGATTTCAACTTACACATTAGTTTTACTTTGCGTGCCCGGTAGTCATATATTCCAAAGCCACTGGACCACTTGAGTACATAAGTGCCACTGTTTAACGAAATCTCTATATTCAGGTCTGTAAACCGAACAGTGTGACTTGGAGTGCTTCCTGCAGACGACTCTGACTGTTGAGTATTTACATGGACCATGGTGATATCCAAAAGAAAAAATGCTTTTATATTTATAGATTTCATTGAACTATATATAAGATGGGTATCAATAAATGTATTTACTCCAAAATCAGTTTGCTGGCTTGCCTAAGGTATGAAAGGGTGGGGCGATGGAACATTGGAGCGTCCCACTCTTATCTTTCCATCCATTTTTTTTGTTGTTGTTGTTGCCTTGTATAGCATTCCTTTTGTCTTAGGGCTTGCCTTGCAGGTATCTCCCTCTGCGGGTTTCTCCCTGGCTCATTTCTGTTCTAGGGTGGGAGCGGTAGGCCAGGTGCACATGTTTTGGTTGTGTTTCTTTTCACTAGACCTCACTCAGTGGCAGGGAGTATCCAGGGTCTGGCATGACAGATGCCTTGTATCCAAGCTAAGGAGCCAGGAGATGAATGAAATAGAATATTATCAGAAAGATGGTACCTGCTCTAGCTTGGTTTTTGTTTCTTCCTGTTCCTGAGAAACTCATCATTGACCCCAAACTGTGTGTTAAATTAGTGTTTTATCTGGATAATTTACATAGTTGGGTCTGAGCTGATTGGAGAAAAGTATACATTATCAATGAGAGGGAGGTAGAGGTGGAAAAATCATAATTAGACCACTTTAGAAGGTAAGTTTGAAAGCTCTGAAAAGCAAAGAGTTTGAAAAAACATTACACTATTTAATCCTATATCCTTTTTTAGTCCTGAAAGGGGTAAAGGACCCTATTGAGGGTTATAGATGGGTTCAAAAAGTCTCCTGTGATCCTTGGCATAGCTTTTGGGTGGTGATTAGATCATGGGGCGCATACTCTAGGCGGAGTAGTCCACTGATAAATTTACAACTGAATGTGCTGTCCGAGGTAGGGTGCATCTCCTTCCCGGCTGCTCCTTTCTCTCGTGTTTCCTGGCCTTCGCGAAGTGAGCAGCTTTTTCTCCACCGTATCCTTCTGCCATGCCATCCTGTCTTGCAGCAGCCAATTATGGACTAAAATGTGAGTCCAAAAAACCTTTCAGGTTACGGGCGTCAGGTAATTTGTCCCAGCAACAAGGAAAATTAATGAAGACAATGGCTATAAAACTGCAAGCTAGGATGCCTCGGAGTGGAAAGGGTGCTGTTTGTAATTATGCCTGAGCAACAGGAGTAAGCTGGCCCTGTCCCAGGTGAACCACAGGTGTCTGGACTAGTCACAGGTGGAGTTGGAGGTAAGTGGGGCTGCACCCCAGCTCCGGCAGCCCTGCACAGCCTGCCCCTCCTGCCTCAGACCTCTTCAGAGGTTGAGGTGGAAAGCTCACTTGAGCCCAGAAATTCAAGGCCAGCCTGGGCAACTGTGTGTGTGTGTGTGTGTGTGTGTGTGTGTGGAGGGTTGGGTATTGAACCCAGGCCTTCACACTGAGCTACATCTGCAGCCCCTTTTATTTTGAGACAGGGTTTTACTACATCAGTTGTGATGTTTTGCTTCAGCCTCCCAGAGTGTGGGATAACTGGTGTGTGCCAGCATTCTTGGCCCAAGACCTCATCTCAAAAAAGTGTGTGGTATGTAGTACCCAATAGTTGCTTTTTCTGCTGGTACTAAATATCACTTCAAGGAGTGGTTACAGAGAAAAGTGAAGATGGTGAAATAGAATTGAAAGTAGAAAGGAGACTACTCAGGTAAAAGAATAATGTAAAACGTTCAAATGTTTATCTAAATCGTTTTTGCATCTCTGTGGATGTTTATCTGTACCAGTTACCACAGAGCTGGGAAGGATGGCTAAAAGAACTTCAAAATCTTCAGCAGCACAGTGTTTAGATATTTCACATACTCTTGTGTCCTTCACACGTATTTCATTTGTATACATTCACATGTATACATTTGTACGTGCATGCACATGGTGATGTCCCAGGATGGAAAGCTGCAATTGTTTGTGTCTTGTGTAAATTTTCCTTGTATCCTTGGGTTCTGTCCTCGTACAGAGAAATGATTTAAGAGGATAAAATTGTGATAGTTATACATTTTGCCGGGTAAAAGCACTGTGAGACTGGTGGTTTCTGGTAAAAACTCTTTTCCTTTTTTGTTGTGCAAATGGTGAAAATTTGTCAATGATTAAAAGAAGTTACTAGTGGCTGTTGTTACTGGTTTCCAGATAAGCTAGGAAAGTAACTAAACATTCTCCCCCGTCTGTGAGGCCCCTGAAGAACATAGTGTCTGAAGGGAATGCAGGCAGCAGTTGGAACTAGCTGGAGCATGTCTATCGACGGCGGCTTCTTGAACTCACCCGGGGCAGAGACTCTGCACTTAACATCCAAGAACGACATAAGGAAATAGCCACAGCTACCAGTCGTTCTAGGTGGCTAGTTTGTGCTACCTCATGAAGTCTTCACAGCACCTTGTGAGTTGGCACCACATTCCTATTATGAGCAGGGAAACTGAGGCACACAACTAAATGGTGGAGTTAGAGTTGGAAGCCGTACGGTTTGTCTCTAGAATCTGCGTGCACGCAAGTGTTTGTATGTGTGGGAATACTGAAGACTGAACCCAGGGATTTCGCACTGAGCTACATCCCCAGCTCTTTTAAAATTTTTTGTTTTGAGACAGGGTCTTACTAGGTCACCAAGGTTTCCAGGCTGGGCTCGAACGTCTTGTGCTCATCCTGCCTCAGCCTTCCTCAGTTCTGGGATTGCACCCAGTGCTCCTCAGCACTCAGCTCAGAACCTCTATCCTTAAACTACCACCTGACCTTGTTATCCTTGTGTTTTGCAGAAAAAGAATTTTATTGTTGTAATTTGGAAACATGCATTCTGTCCTCTCTTTTTGGAGATTACTGTGTACAATCAAATATTAAAGGTGTTGAGAAGACCTGCAATAAGGAATCCTTCATTCATATTACATGTTCTTATTTGATCCTTTGAAAATGCCTGTCCAAGCAGTGTGTAACGAATATGCAGAAGGATGTATTACTCGTGGAACCATTTTCAGTGGGATTGGAGATACGATTTTTTAAAATACCATTTTCAGTGTGTTTTAGCATAATCTTCAGCAAGCTGCTTCCGTGGCTGGCTAGTTCAGCACCTGTCCTTGTTTATGATGGCAGAGAGGTGTATGGCTGCTGTGTGGCATTAGCATTTCTTCACAGTACACCATTGTTGAAAAGCATTTGCTCCTGTCAACTACCTGGAGTCCCCTCTTCCCGCAGTAAATAGCTGTCCAGCCTTTTCACCAGTTGGCTGCCGCAGCCAGGTTCTCAGATTTTGGCCTCTAGGTGGCGGTATTGTTTTGTACATTTCCGGCTTTCTGTCCTCTGCATATTTGCTCTGCCCTGAAAGTTGGCCTGCGTCACCCAAGTGGACACCTAACTTAGAGATCCATTGACTTCCTGAAGTTATTTGCCCTGAGATAACGTGTAGGACTGATTTGAGACTTTTTTTTAGTCGGAAGTGAAGCAGTTTGCAATTTTCTTTTTGATGGGTTGGATAGGATGAAGGTCGTAACATCATTTGCTTTATGAATTATGAGTTACCAAGGGGCCTTAAGAAGATAGCTATGTCTGCATTGCTATGCAAGTAGGACTTCTTTATCCCTAAACCATCTCTTGTAGATATATGTGCCCTTAAAGATTTCCATGGAAGGAAATGTCATATATTTAAATTAAAATATTGGCTTTTATCACTTCTTAAATGAGGTTTGTTGAAATTTTCATACTTGGGCTTGAGACAAAAATACAGTGAAGGAAAAGGCTGCATCACATTATCTTTTGTGTGTGTGTGTGGTACAGGGGATCAAACTCAGAACCTTGAGCTTGTGAGGCAGGTGTGGTGCCACTGAGCAAACTCCCCAGCCCTCTTCGGGTAGTCTAACATGACAGTAGTACAATTTATTATAATGATTATTAGCAGTAGCAGTATATCTTAATATTTAAACGCTTACAACTTGCCTGTCATCGTGCCTAGACTTTTACTCATGCCTTCTCATCTAATCTATCCCATCTATTCAGTGTCTTAGCTTGGAGCTATTGCCGTGACCCATTTTACTGATGAGAAAAGTAAGGCACTAAGAGGAGGGAACTTACAAGAACATATTGCTGGTTTTATTGGCAGATCTTGGACTCAAAGTCCTGCCTGATGCCGGAGCATAGGTCTGTCTTCCTGGTGTAGCAGAGCTCATTATGGTCTGAGTCTGTGCACGAAAGAAGGGAGGGAAAGGAGGAAGGAAAGAAGGCGGTGAGGAAGGTGGGTGGCTGTGTGGCTGTGGGCAGCTCATCGCGGAGCTTTTTGAGAGTAGCAGTGCCACCTTGTGACAGAGGCAAGATGCCAGTTTGCCAGACAAGTTTTCTCTTCTTGGGCACAGGAGTGACTTCTGACTTCCCTTGTAACGGGGGCCGTCTGGGCGAGTTTTAGCAATAGTGTGAGAAGTGATGTAGATAAATTCAGGGTCTAGCCCATATATCCTCTGCCGTGTGCTTCTGCTCATTCTCTTCCCTCCTAACAGAGCAATGCAGATGAGCACGTTGCTGAAAATGCAGGGTCTGAACCTGGATCCCGAGTCACGTTCTGGAAGGGTTATCTGTTGGTCAGAAACATCTGTGTTGGACTAATTTATATGCGGTGCAGAGATGTCTCTGGTGTTGAGCCTTTGAGCTCTTGGATATTGTTACATCAGCTGGTTTTAACCTAACGTGTACAACCACACACTGTGTGGGTCGTGATTCTTAGATAGGGCTCCGACAGGTAGCTAATGAGGTAATAATCTGCAAAAATATCAACCAAAAGATTCAGTATTTTTGTGATTAGTCGCAAAATACGAAAACAAAGCAAACAAAAAACCAATTACAGGCCAAGAGGATTTTATAATCATTACAGATTTTGAAGTTTGGAGTTTGTTAACTATTTTTCAGGGCAAATTTTGAATGCAAAGAGGTCACCGAATGAGGCTAGGAATCAGTGGATGGAATACAAAGAGTCCAAGAGCTCCCGAATGCGTGTGCAGAGTTCTATGTGCCGACTAGACAGGATCTGACCTTTTCCTTCATCCAAGAGGTGAAGAGCTAGTTGTGAATATGAGCACAAGCGACTTGGGAGACTTATTTAGAACAGAAATGCAAAATTGGAATTGGCTGCATGTTCTGGATTTCACATTTTTCCTGGGGTTTCCAATTCTGCCCCTTATATATGTAAAAACTATAAAAGGAGAGCTTTTCTTGAAACTGATACATTAGCATATGGCATAAGTGTCAATGAACAAGTAAAATAGTCTGGGTAAGGGGAAATCATGAATATAAAGCATAACTGTCTTGTGGTCAAGTAGAGATATTGAGCCAATAGTTTTGAGAAATAAGCTTAGTCAATAGTCTACCCCTTGGGGCCGGCCAGCCACTTCTTCTGTGCATTTCAGGTGTCTCTGTTGTTCGGCTCCCTCTGGGTGTCTCTAACATGTCTTCCTGACTTTGCTTTTCTCATCTTGATCTCGTTTCTTAGTAAGATGCCTGGCTCACCTAATTTCCTCTTTTGATCGTGCTTTATGTTGTAAAGTCCTATGAGGGTCATCATGAGACTCAAGGATCAGTCTGTGTGTTGACTGTCTTGTGTATTCAAGGGTGCGCAGCAGAAGGCTGGACATTCCCATTGAATATTCAGTACAGATGTCACTGGGCTGGGGCATAATGGGATCGGTTTATAGGACTGGGAAACCAGTGGGATGGTGCATGCCTGTAATCCCAGCACTCTGAGGCTGAGGCAGGAGGATTGCAAGTTCCAGCCAGCCTGGGCAATTTCGTGAGACCCTGTCTTAAAAAATTCTAAAGAAGGGTTGGGACGTAGCTTAGTATGAAGGCTCTGGATTCAATTCCTAGTACTAGAAAAAACAAAAAAGACAAGGAGATTGTCTTAGTCACCTCCCTAGTCACCTGCAACATAAGGGAAGATGGGTTTATTTTGACTCACGTTTATAGTCTGTGGTAAACTGGCTTCAAGGCAGGACGGCAGAGGAGACTGGCAGAGGAGAGCTGTTCAGGGCTGGGTGGGCAAGAAGCAGAGAGCCTGAAGGGAGGCACTGGAAAGGGAGAGATAGCCTCCTAGGTTATACCCACAGTGACTCACCTCTTCCCACCAGGCCCTGCCTCCAAACAGCCAGCTGGCTGTAACGCTCCATAATCCAATTGTCTTCCAAAATTCCCGCCTATGGTCCCATGAGGCTTTAGGGAACATCTAGTTACAAACCATAACAGAGATGTAACTTCTGATCCACTGAAAACTGCAGCGAAGGTTTAACCCACATCTACTGATGTCTGCTCTGGGCTCTGGCCCAAGCCAGCTGCTCATTAAACAGGTTATTTGTTGAGTGCATACTGGGTGTCAGTCTGTCTT